GCTCCGGCCGCTTCTCAGCTCGGCGTCGGCGACATCTCCGACCACATCGGGACGAACCGCTCACACGAGTAGATGTGCCTCTTCACGCTCATTCGAACGAGCCCAAGCGCGCATGAATCCATGCCCTGTGCACGTTTTCCGGTGAACTTTGGCGGGTCAGCGTCGTGTATTTGGTCGCCAGCGGCGAGAGCCGGCCGCGCTGACCTAGCCTGGCCCGGGGCCACCCCCCTGGGTCACTGCCCGGTGGGACCCACAAGCCCGATTGACCGCGTTGACTCAGGTCAACGTGCTGACTGTGCACCCCAAGTCACTACCAGTGGGGCCCACATCCCCAAACTTATTAAGACCGAAATTAATTAATTAATTTAATTAGTTACACTAAGTAGACACTGATGTGTGGGTCCAGTAGGTTAATTTGTTAAATTTGATTAGTTTTAAACTATGTCAAACCCACTATCAATGACAGGTGGGGCCCAAACATCAGTTTGACCAGTCAACTGGCTGGTTGACTGCTGACGTCGGGATGACATCATGCTGGCGCAATATGTTCTTTTGTATTAATAATAATAATAATAATAACTATTTAAAACTTTGAAAGTTAATATAAAATAAACCGTAACTTGGATGAAAATACTTTGTACAGGAAAGTTGCTCAGAACGACGAGACTAATCTGAATACGTAGTCCGTTCATCCGCCACACATCCCTGGCATAGCGAACTTGCAACATTCCCCCTCCGGTTCGACTGTCCAAAAATGACAAACATCGGGAATACTTTCCCGGATGTTTTTCCCCTTCACCGGTATCACCTATCCCTACGTTAGATCACCCATGGCACCGCGTATTGCCATTTTATACTCTGTGATGTTTTGATTGCTCTATTATTTATTGTGTTCCCCCTCCGTTACTTCTTTCCAATAGACCCCGAGACTGTTGCCGATACCCCTGTGATCGACTACATCGACGAAGACCCCTCCTTGCCAGAGCAACCAGGCAAGCCCCCCCCCTTGTTCAACCCGATATCGCCTACTCCTTCTCTCTACTGCTTGCATTAGAGTAGTGTAGCATGTTACTCCTTTGGGTTAATCCTATTCTGCTGCATAGCCTGTCTTTGCTACTACTGTTGTTACCTTTACCTGCAATCCTAAATGATTAGTATATGATGCTAGTTTATCATCAGTGACCCTACACTCTTGTCCGTCTGCCATGCTATATTACTGGGCCATGATCACTCGGGAGGTGATCACGGATATACACTATACTATACTATTACATTACTTATGTTACTGTTCGGAGATGGGGGCTGAAGGGGCAGGTGGTTCCATCCAGGTAGTGATGGGCCTGGGTTCCCGACAGCCCCCTGATGATTACTTTGTGGTGGAGCGACAGGGCAGGTTGAGACCACCTAGGAGAGAGTTGGGCCTGGCCCTGGTCGGCGTCCGCGGTTACTTCAAAATAACACGCTTAACGAGATCTTGGTATTTGATCTGAGTCTGGCCACTGGCCTATACGCACTAACCAACTACGCGGGAATAGTTATGGGCACTCGACATCGTGGTATCAGCCGAAGCCTTCTTGACATGAGCGACTGAGTGGTGCACGCCGGGTTGGACCGCGTAACGCGACTTCCTTTGTAATGGAGGTTGCTGGGTCTGCTCACCGGTCGCCCACGCAACATGCAGGTTTGCAATGGGCGATGGGCCCAGACCCCTGCGGCATAGGATTTAGACCGGCGTGCTGACCTCTTTGTTGTGCCTAGGTAGGGCTGCGACGTGTTGATCTTCTAAGGCCGGGCATGACCCAGGAAAGTGTGTCTGGCCAGAGGGATCGAGCGTGTTAGGAAATGTGGTGCACCCCTGCAGGGAAGTTTATCTATTTGAATAGTCGTGTCCCTCGGTAAAAGGACGAATCAGAGTTGTACCTTGACCTTATGATAACTAGAACCAGATACTTAATAAAACACACCCTTCCAAGTGCCAGATACAACCCGGTGATCGCTCTCTCACAGGGCGACGAGGAGAGGATCGCCGGGTAGGATTATGATATGCGATGATACCTGGTGAACTTACCATCTACTCTCTTCTATATGCTTCAAGATGGAGGTTGCTAGAAGCGTAATCTTCAATAGGACTAGCTATCCCCCTCTTATTCTGGCATTCTGTAGTTCAATCCATAGTTACTACCCTTTTCATTGATACCAATTCATACGTAGTGTAGATCCTTTCTTGCGAGTACTTTGGATGAGTACTCACGGTTTCTTTCCTACTTCTTTTCCCCCTTTTTCCGGTTAGTGTGATCATATGATGGAGTCCAGGAGCCAGAGGATCCCGAGGATGATTCTACGTGGAATTCGACTTCGAGGAATACTTAGGAGGTCCTAGGCAGGAGGCCTTGCATTTTCGATCGTTGCTACGTTTGTGCTCCATCACTACTATCATATCCCAAATCCATACAAATTCATGGAACTATGTCAACGCACAGACATCGTCCGGCTACTCCATCGCTACTTTCGAAACGTGCCATCGGACTACCAAAATTTGACATGTTTGGCTATGGTGGAGATCATCCACGACTTCCCTTGCCCTTCCCGGCGCCCTTGTCGTCCTTCCCGTGGAAATACCGGTAGACGACGTGGTAGGGATCGAGTCGGATCTGCTCATCGTCGAAGCTGTCCTCGTCGCTGTTGTCCTCCTTTTCCTCCTTCGGTGGCAGTCCGGCCATGGCACGGAACACCCGGTTCTGCTCCCGCGCAGGGACCCGCGTGTTTCTCCGCTGTCGTTTCTTCACAATGCGGGAGCGGATGACTTCCTCCTCTACGACCGCCCGCATCGCCGCATTAGCCGTCTCCGCCGCTGCCATTTCCGTCGCGATACACGCCTCGGCGGCCCTTATCCTCTCCTTCCCACGACGGGCTACCCGTTCCCGGTGGGACTCATATAGTCTGCCCGGCCGGTGATGGGGAAGGAGAGATTTTTCGGCCGCCGAGACTGCGATTATCCAGTCCCAGAGGACCCGAGCGCCCGTTGAGCCGACGCCATAGAGTCGCGCTGGAGAAATCCGTCCATTGGCTGGGCGCTGTCCTCTCGGGAGAGGCGGAGTGCAATGCAGACCGCCACTGCCTCCTCCAACCCGCACGATTGATACCCCTGTCGACGGATTCGGACTGGTCGGAGTCAGATCAGTTGCCCGCCATGCCAGAGACGGCCGGAAATCGGTGGAGGTGAGCTCGGGTGATGGATGGAGTGGAGTGTGAAGTGGCTAGGGTTTGATCCGACGAGTGAATGGGGACGAACATATGTGGGTCGGGTGGGTCAGCGTGGGCTAGCTTCGACATGGCGGGCGTCCCTATATCCGCTCTATATTTAGACTGGATAAGAGGGATACCGCTCAGTCCGGACATTTAAAGCATGTTTGAGACGTCCGTCTAGATCGAAATTTCTTGACCGGATAGTAACCGAGTGGTCCGCGCGGGCATGAGAGGAGGGTTTGAGGCGCATGACTGCTCTAAGTCGCCGTCAGTACATGGTTCGACATGTCATTTTACTTTGGTAACCAGGGAAATGAATGTTTTTTCGGGAACATCCAAATCAAAGATGCTATCGCCACTCGCTAGGAAATAAACTCCGGTCTGTGCTGGCGTCGTAGAATGTTGAAGTTAAAAATCAACGAGACTTCTCCGTACTTTGGTCAAAGATACCGTAGAAACCTTTGCTTAAAAAAATCCCGCTTGCCACCTACAATCCCGGGGCTGACAAGTTCCGTTAGAATATAGGAGCATTGCAGGTTCTTGTTCTTAAGCAACCGACTCAGTCCGACTGACCCGAGCTTGAGACCGGAGCTCCTCCCCACGGCGTCCTTATTTTACTTCCAGATTTGTGTATTCGCAAGCCACACCAAACACCGGAGCAAAACCAACAAACCACTAAGCTTTGTTTAAAACTGAAAACCAAAACACCCAGTTAGTGCCATGCAACAGGCCACGTGATCTTCCACGGAACGTAGCAGTAGTACCACGACAAGCAGTAACGCAATCGAAACCCGGCGCCCGTGGCCGGCACGTTCGACGGAAATTTCCATCCACCTTTCATCATCGTGGAGCCATGCTATGCATCTGTAAATTGCCCGCGAACCAAGCAGGCCTACGGGTCTAGTGCTAGCTCCCGCTCGGCCCACTTCCAAACTTGCCACCGCCGCGCGGGAGTACGCCCGAGCCAGTCCACCCTCCACCCACCGCCAGCGCCACAGCTTTTGTCTTGGCCGCTGCCGCTGCCGCTGCTTTTACCAGTCCCGCCACGGCCCCCAACGCCCCAGGAAACCCGTGTCGCGGCCTCCGTGCCGCTCCACCTGCTGCTTTTTCCACCGCGGGCCCCGCCCGCGTGCCCGCCCCAGTCCTCACTCCACACTGCGCCGCACCGTTTCGAAACCGTTCGCGCCGCGCCGCCCGGCTCTATTTATGGGATCCCAGCCCGGACGCCAGAGCACAGCACATCCCCACCGCGCTCCACCCACCCCCGCCGGCCTCACCGCGCACCAGGCAGCCGCTCCACCATGCCGATGGCGCCCGCCCGAGCAGCCCTCCTCGCCTTCCTCGTGGCCGCGCTGCTCCCGCTCGCCCTGTCCCGGGGGCAGGGGCGTGGCCCGCACCTGCCGGGGCACGGCCTGGTCCACCGTCACGGGCCTGGCATCGGTCACCACGCCCACGCGCCGCTCGGCGGTGGCGCCTGGGCCTCCGCGCACGCCACCTTCTACGGAGGCGGTGACGCCTCCGGCACCATGGGTACGTGCAGTAAACACCGTCACTCACAGCATTGTACTAGTACTGTTTCTTGGTGCATCTTAGATGCCGCTCGCTGCCGGTGCTCACCGTCTGCTCGTGCGCGTGTGCAGGTGGGGCGTGCGGCTACGGGAACCTCTACAGCACGGGGTACGGCTCCAACACGGCGGCCCTGAGCACGGCACTCTTCAACAACGGCCTCAGCTGCGGGGCCTGCTTCGAGGTGCGGTGCGACCCCGGCGGCACCGAGGCCGGCGCGCCGCACGCCTGCCTCCCCGGCTCCACCGTGGTGACCGCCACCAACTTCTGCCCGCCCAACTTCGCCGAGTACTCCGACGCCGGCGGCTGGTGCAACCCTCCCCGCGCCCACTTCGACATGTCCCAGCCCGTCTTCCAGCGCATCGCGCTCTACCGGGCCGGCATTGTCCCCGTCTCCTACCGCAGGTTCGCCCCCTTCCGTCACGCATTACTACCCTTGCCTGCCCAAGAACTGTTAAAGGGAGTTGACACTGACGGTGGCGTGGATCTGGTCGTGCAGGGTGGCGTGCCAGAAGAAGGGCGGCATCCGGTTCACCATCAACGGCCACTCCTACTTCAACCTGGTGCTCGTCACCAACGTGGGCGGCCCCGGCGACGTGCACGCGGTGTCCGTCAAGTCCACGCGCTCGGGGTGGCAGTCGCTCTCCCGCAACTGGGGGCAGAACTGGCAGAGCAACGCGCTGCTCGACGGGCAGGGCCTCTCCTTCCGCGTCACGGCCGGCAACGGCCAGTCCGTCGTCTCCAACAACGCCGTGCCGCGCGGCTGGTCCTTCGGCCAGACCTTCAGCGGCGCCCAGTTTCACTGAGCGCCCGCATCATCCATCCGCCGAAGCAGTACTATCTTGTAGTAGTAGTGGTCAGTAGTGGTCGTCGTCAACCTCCCGACTGGAGCGTGCTGGGAAGCGCCATGGTTTTATGATGGTTCTTCCACAAGCGTCCGACGCTCTTCGGGGATTCGAGGCTGTAGCAGGTAGTTAGGCCTAGTATTATCATGGGCTTTTAATTGTCTGGTTAGCGTGCGTGAGTGAGTGAGTGAGTGGTAGCTGAAGCCTAAAGCATTTGAACGAGGTTTTGGCTAGGATGGCAGCGGTGGTAAAGGCTTGGCTTGATTAACCGACGCCGCCTTGTATCACCCGCCTGTTTAGCGAGTGGGCCTCTTGGGTGGTGGCCTTTGTCTCGTGGATGTTTTCGTGTGTGGTGTGTGCTTGGCTGTGATGTAACCTCAGACCGAGTTAATTTAAGCCTCTGGCTTTTGCATGTTTTACTTCCTCCTCTTCTGAGCAATGTAAGTATTTAACTCTGATGAAGACAGCAGTGCTTGTCCCATTTTGTAATTTTATTGCGCTGCTGTCTTCTACTCGCAAATGAGCTCACCTTCAAACGGAAGCAGACAACTTTTCTGGTCGATTTCTGAACATTTCGGTTTATTCTTGGTCGTCGGTGCGAGGCCGAGCATTATAACATGAAACATCACTATCCGTTGGTCGAAGAATCAACTGCAGAACCCTGCTAAGTAGTTTTTTTTTGCGGGGCTTAAGTAGTTATCCAGTAAGAAATAGCATCAGCAGCAGAGGTGAAGTTTTGAGACACAAAACAAGAAGCCACGGGAGTAAGGGAGTTCTCCAATAAAAATAGAATCAGCAGGGAAGGTGGTGTTTGAGACACAAAACGAGAAGTGAGGCTTCTCTCGTGAACAAACAACATACTCCACCTAAGAGCATCTACAGCTCGGAGAACCAAACCCTCCTCGAATACCGGAGCGGCCAAACCCTCAAATGCTCGAGCGAATCCAACCAGTCATAATTTTCGACCTGGGACACAAGTCTCAAACATCCGGACTGACAGGCTCCTCAAATGCTCGAGCGGCCCAACCGGTCATGAAATTTTGACCCAGACAAACGCCTCAAACGTCCGGCCTTACAGGCATCACTGATATCAAGCCCAAATATAAGAGCTCCCGGGTGTGTCTGCCACGTCGGACCCGGCCTAGGCTGGCCCACCCGACCCCACATATATTTGCCCCCAATCCGCTCATCGGACCAAACCCTAAAAACCTCACACTTTCCTCCCATCCACTTCCTCTGTCACCTCAGGTCACACTCGGTGATTTTCGGCCATCTCCGGCATGGCACGCAGCGGATCTGACTCCGACTAGTCCGGATTTGTCGACCGGGGTATCATCCCGTGAGGGTTGGACGAGGCAATGTCAGTCCGCATTGCACTCCACCGCTCCCCGGAGGACAGCGCGCGGCCGCCGAACGGATCTGTCCGCCGTGACTCCATAGCGTCGGCTCAACGGGCGCTGGGTCCTCTGGGGCTGGATCATCGTGGTCCCGGCAGCAGGAAAATAACTCCTTCCCCATCACCGATCGGAAAGACTATGAGTCCCATCGGGAACGGTGAAAGAATCAATATGGTTGACTAGAGGGGGGGGGGATGAATAGGCAACTAACAATTTTTTGCTTTTCTTTAACAATTTAAATTTTGCATCAAAGTAGGTTGTCTAGATATGCAACTAGGTAAGCAACCTATATGATGCAACAAGGATAGGAACACAAGCAAGCAAGAGATATAACACAAATAAGCTTGCACAAGTAAAGGCACGAGATAACCAAGAGTGGAGCCGGTGGAGACGAGGATGTGTTACCGAAGTTCCTTCCCTTTGAGGGGAAGTACGTCTCTGTTGGAGCGGTGTGGAGGCACAATGCTCCCCAAGAAGCCATTAGGGCCACCGTATTCTCTTCACACCCTCACACAATGCGAGATGCCGTGATTTCACTATTGGTGTCCTTGGAGGCGGCGACCGAACCTTTACAAACAAGGTTGGGGCAATCTCCACAACTCAATTGGAGGCTCCCAACGACACCACGAAGCTTCACCACAATGGACTATGGCTCCGCGGTGATCTCAACCGTCTAGAATGCTCAAACACCCAAGAGTAACAAGATCCGCAAGGGATTAGTGGGGAGAATCAAATTTCTCTTGGTGGAAGTGTGAATCGAGGCCTTCTCAACCACTCCCGAGCAAATCAATAAGTTTGATTGGCTAGGGAGTGAGATCGGGCGAAAATGGAGGTTAGAGCAACAATGAATCTAAGGGTTGGAAGAGATAAGTCAACGGGGAAGAAGGGAACCCCTTTTATAGTGCGAGACAAAGATCCAACCGTTATACACCTACCAGCCCGTGGCCAGCGGTACTACCGCTCCAGGCCAGCGGTACTACCGCAGGGCCAGGCGGTACTTCCGCTTGCTGCCAAGCGGTACTACCGCAAGGTCACGCGGTACAACCGTGCAGGCCCGCGGTAGTGCCGCAGCACCTGCAACAGCTAGGGCAGACCTATAGCACAAGTGCTGAGGGCGGTACTACCGCTCCCCCTTGCGGTACTACCGCAAGGCAGGATTCCCCTAGCCAGGAAATAAGGAAACATCCGTGCCTACTTCAGCTGAAAAACGGAAAAAACAAAAACCCGACACAGTACTACCGCAGAGGGGTGGTACTACTGCCTGACAGCTGAGCACGGTGCTACCGCGGAAGGGTTGCGGTACTACCAGGTAGGCGCGGATTTAAAAAATTATATCCGCCCTACTACCGCGAGGGAGCGGTACTAGCCTGGTGGGCCACGGTAGTGGAGCTCCAGGGAAGCGGCACTACCGTGGGCACCTGCGGTACTACCGCGCCGCAACACGGTACTACCGCTGGTGCCTACGGTACTACCGCTCACCTGGGAGCAGTACTACCGCGAGCCAACACAGCAGCCAGAAACAAGGTGACGAGATAACAACGGAGGATGCTCCAAGGTGCAGGGGAAAGGAGGGAACTAGAAAGAGACGTGTACGTGATGATTCCACCCAAACCTTTCCGACGCGGACCCCCTCTTAATAGTACGGCTTACCTACGACTCAAGTCCACCAAAAAGAAACGTAGAAAAGATGCCGTCTTCAACAGTCTTTGAGGGGCACCAAACCGTCTAGTGCCTAGCGATGAAACGTCTGGGAAAGTCAAGGCACACGATTAGTCCGCAAACGCATTGTCGTCAATCACCAAAACACCTTAGGGATAAATATGCCCTTACAATCTCCCCCTTTTTGGTGGATTGATGACAATACAAGATTTGCACAAGAGAATTAATATTAAGAAAACGCAAACCCCTCCTCTCTAGAATATAGACGGGCTCCCCTTAGATATGTGCCAACTAGATGGGTGCTTTGGACTGCACGACACACATACTAGGATCAAAAACCCCCTATATTATAGAGACAAGGCATATCTTGCAAAAGTAAGGCTAACACTTGACAAGATAGCACAAACAAGTTAACTAAGATAGAATAGAGTGCATATGTCTTACACCATATGAAGGATAAGTCTCGAGGGCACAAACCAAACAAAGCAAACGAGGTTCAAACGACAAATCAAACACACCGCAAACACACCAAGCATGACATAACACAAATCCCTACACTCTCTCCCCCTTTGGCATCGAGACGCCAAAAAGGCAGAGAGGACACCTACACAAACGGGGTGGCTCAGGCAGAGAAGTCATCCCACTGCTCCTCGTGCTCCTCGTCAGACTCAGCGGCGGGGACGGTCCCCTCGATGTCCTCCTCAGAACTAGTCCACTTGTATCCCTGCTTCGCCATCCATGCAGCCTCTGGCGTGATGGAATCCTCAGAACCACCAGATACATCCTCTCCAAAGAGGCTCATGACCTTCTTGTCACGGCGGCGACTCTCCTTGTCTGCCACGTGAGTCCTGTACTATCCCTTCGCCTGCATGCAGAAGAGAGCCTTCATCTTGTCCTTTAACTTCTTGGCCCACGACGACTCAAAGGAAGGTGTGGAAGACCTAGCAGCACGGTCCTCAGCAACATTCTCTGCACCAGCCTCCTCCTCACCAACAGCCCTCCTAGCAGCAGATGCCTCAGCACGGGTAGTAGTGTTGGCCCAGTTGGGCTTGATGCGGAGACTGATGGAATCATGCCGAATCCAGTCTGGAGTAAGGAACTCATCACCAGGGTACATCTTCTCCCAAGTTGTGGAGAGCAACAGAAACAGGTACGGTCCATAGATAGGTACCTTGCGGGTGAACACTGCAAACCGAAGCTCACACCACATGATGCGTGGGACATCAAGTGGCTGAGTGTGAGACGAACGTGCCTCCGCGCACAGGAGCAACATGTCGACTAGATAGGAATGAACCTTGTCCTTGTCGCCAATGCGTGGGAACAGAGTGTTGCGGAAGATGCGATGCATGATATCCAGAAAGGAGTTCAGCACCCAAGTCGACTTGCCATTGGGGAGCACCTTCTCAAAATAGTACGACTGAAGAAAGTTCTTGTTAGCAAACTCAGAGTTGGCGTGGGGGCGAACACCAACGGGTGTGTGAAGCCCGTCATCAGGAATGTGAAGCAGATCCATGAACTCCTTCCATGTAGCAGACAACTGACGGCCGTTGGTCATCCAAGTCATCCTCCGCTCAACCCCGGGGTGAAAGTAAACTGAGGCAAAGAACTGACAAACAACCTCAGGGTCATAGTCAAGGTGAAAGGAGATCACATGCTCAATAGCAAACTGCTCCACCAAGTCCAGAGCTTCTCCAAAATAGTCATGAAACTTGTCCTTCCTCATGTGATTCATGTCTATCCACTTGACATCCACGAAGGTATTCTGCTTGTTCTTGATCACATCCAGATAAATGAGAGCCTGCTGCTTGGTCCAAAACAACTCAATGCCTCTGAGGACAGCACAAGGATTCACATAGGGGTTGATCTTCCGGCGTTCGACATACCCATTGATGGAGATCTCGTCCA